TTAAAAGAGCATCAGTGTAGTGAGTCTCACCCTTCACCTATTTACCAGATGATACAACTCAGGCCAAGAGAGACAAATGACTGACACCAAAACCCAACTCATCAGTGATGTGGAATTAATGTGAACTCTCTGAAAACCTGCTTTGGAGTTTGGTGGGTCTAGGTTTGAATCTCTTCTCTGCCACTTGTTTGTGCAACTTTTGGTACGTCACAATGGTCCAAGCTCCAAGCTTGCTCCCTTTTCTGTCAAATGAAGGTAGTAATACTTCCCTTATAGAGTTGTTTTAAGGGTCATATGAAATGTACTTGAGCTTATAGAAAGCGCTTGCCTTAGTGCCAAGCATACAATGGACATTCAAAAAGATGGTGGCAATTATCACCATGTCCTTGATAGCAGCCTTTTCTTAATATAAATGGTCCTTGGATTGTGGGTCTCAGAAAACATAATCTTGTTCTGTTAATTATACCATTAAGTTTTAAGAAAAATGAGATGTCTTTTTTAGAATATTAAGAAAATCCTATCATGACCGAATCTGCCACCATTTTTTAATATTTTGAACATGAAGAATTCGCTCACATAGAAGGTGAGACTATAACTTCGTGTTATTAGCTTGTCATGACACACTCACGGAATGGACGGATCGTGTATGATAATACCAAAGTTACTTCTATGGCTATTGAACCTGCTTGCACAGTATTTAGCCAAAGGATGTCTGTAAATTCAGCATGCTTGATCAGAAATCACAAATTATACTTATTAGGGAGTATGTCAATTTGCGAGTAACACATAGAAAGGTTAGACTGTGCTAAAAGTAAACTTGAAATGGCATTCTTTTGAAATATCAGTGGTATTGTCTCATGCAGTTGTCAAAAGGGAAAGCTGCACAGCCTTTGGTGAGAAACAGAGAGGACCATCAGCCCAGGAGACACAAGTAGCTTCCAGCTGGCATTGGTCCCAGTAAAGATATTGAATAATAAATAATCTGACTCTCACTTTTTTTAGTAACAAACTTCCTAACTTTTGAATTTCTCTTGTAAAATGTAATAAACACAAAGTATTATATTTTGTAAATACTATGACTCGTTCATACTTTGTAAGACACTGAATAAATTTACCATCTTTTATCACTGTCCTTTTTAGGCTTGTTAATCCTTTTTTACTTTACTGTAAACATTCATAAAATTAACATTTTAAGTGGCCATTTTTTATAAGTATCTGTTTGGTTTACAACCGCTAATGAAGCTCAGGAAAAATCTTTCTAATGGCTGCTATTATTTTTTACAGGGTAGAAATAATGTCTCTTGCACTTGTAGTGACATCAAGTCAGTGGTGTTTAATTCCTCTGGACCACAGGCCAGAGCAAAAATGTGTCCTTTCTGGTTTGGAGACTTACCATCGACTATGGGATCAGGTTCAAAGTCCTTTGAACCTTCTCTCTGCTCCATAGGATTGACCATTACCACCTTTGTTACCACACCAAACTCTGCAAAGATGTTTATACTACATCTATGCAATTTTATTATACTTATTTGAAAATATCTATTTCTATTTACCTACGTACCTACCAATCTGTATCTCGTTATCTACCTATCTATCTAACCACTTATCATCTATATACCTACCTATCTGTTCATCCACTCTTACAGAGGACCAACTATTTTTTAAAGGCAGTGACTGTGTCCTAAATGTTTTCATATCCTTAGAAACAAGCACAATGTCTGGTTTTTGATCTAGGTCAAAATCAGCACATGCTCAGTGAATGAATTCTCTGGCCGTGACTAAACTGTGAGCATTTTGGAGATGGAGACTGAATAGCATCCTCTTTATATTCCTAGTGTTTAGCCTAGCATGTGATACATAGTAGGTTCAGAAAATGCATTTGGCTTAAATAAGTGAATACATTCAAAAAATAGAAAAAAATATCTAATTTAATTGTTATAATTACTGTTGGAAACTATTCAACATCTAAATTTTGTTGTATTTTGGCTTTTCATCTTTCAATGGGATAGGCATTGATTAAGATATTCCTAAGTTTTCCTTTTCTGACAATTCCCTACATGGGTTATTCTGTGCGTCTGATGCAATGTTGGGGGAGGTGGGGCTGATAGACATCTATATGCCTGAGTTGATTTCCGTGATGGACTTCTGTCGTTGTTATTTGGATAAAAGGGAGAAGTTTTTGCATTGGGATTTAGGGAGAACATAGAAATAATACTTTTTAAATGGGATATGATACTATCTGGTCCCTTGTGCATTCATTCCCTGGTCAAATACTAATGGAGCATCAATGTAAGAGTTTATTTCTGGACTTTCAATTCTACTCCATTCATCTATAGGCCTATCTTTATGCCAGGATCACTGTCTTGATAATTGTAGCTTTGCTGTAAATTGGAAATAGGGAAATGTGAGTTCCTCAATATGTTCTTTATAAATTAGTATTATTATTTTTATTATTTTGCCTCCTGGGTTCTTTGAATTTCCATATGAATTTTAGAATCCGCTCACTAATTTCCACAAAAGAGGCAGCTAGAATTTTGACACCGATTCCATTGACCCAATAGATCGATTTGGGGCAGCACTGCCATCTCAACAATATTAGGTCTTTAAATCCATGAACACAGGACACCTGTCTACTTATTTTGGTTTCCTTTAATTTCTTTCATCATGATTTTATAGTCTTCAATATACGAATCTTGCACTTCTTTTGTTAACATTTTTCTAAGTATTTTATTCTTTGTGACACTATTATAAATTGAATTGTCTTCATTTCATTTTCAGATTGTTCTTTGCCAGAGTATAGAAATACAGGTGATTTTTTTTTTTTTTTTTTTTTTTGCGGTACGCGGGCCTCTCCCTGCTGTGGCCTCTCGCTGCGGAGCACAGGCTCCGGACGCGCAGGCCCAGCGGCCATGGCTCACGGGCCCAGCCGCTCCGCGGCATGTGGGATCCTCCCGGAACAGGGCACAAACCCGTGTCCCCTGCATCGGCAGGTGGACTCCCAACCACTGCGCCACCAGGGAAGCCCTACAGGTGACTTTGTGTATTGATCTGGCATTCTGAGATTTTGCTGAACTCATTTATGAGCTTTAATAGTTGTTGGTAGGGACTTCCCTGGTGGTCCAGTGGTTGAGAATCTGCACTTCCACTGCTGGGGACATGGGTTCAATCCCTGGTCAGGGAACTAAGATCCCACATGCCACACAGTGTGGTCAAAAAAAGAAAAAGTTGTTGGTAGAATCCTCAGAGTTTTCTCTCTATGTAAATATATACATAGATTTGTGAACAGACAGTTTTACTTCTATCTTTCCAATCTACATTCCCTTAATTTTATTTTCTTATCTAATTGCTAGCAATAATTTTTAAAAGTATGTTGAATATTCAAAGGTATTCATACTTTGTTTTCTGGATACACTGAACTCCTTGTTATTTACTTATTTATTCAACAGGTAAGAAATGTCATCTTAATTTAAACATCTTCCAGAACTGAAGAGTAATATTTTTTGTCATGTGTTTATTGGATATTTGTACTTCCTTAGCAAATTTCTTTTTCTACCATTTATTCACATATACCATTTGTACTTTTTATATAATTTGTAAGAATTTATATATTAAGAATAATAACCCTTTGGTGTTCATATAAATTACATGTATTTCCTCAGTTTGCTGTAATTTTATTTATAGTCTTTTGATATGTAGATATATTATGTGTCTGTGTAATTATACGTGGCCGTCATTTGTTCTTTAGATTCTGCTTTGGAAATCAGACCTAGGAAGGCCTCCTCTACCTCTAAAATTATATAAGAATTCACCCATTTTTTTCATGTCCTTTTGTAAATGCTCTATTTTTGAAGACATGTATTTGAATGTTAACAAAATGTTTCAGGTATGGGGCTGTGTAAGCCTTGATCATAAATGTAGTAGACTCCACTGTTAGGAGAAATGAGTTATCGGGTGACTCCCAAGGCTGTATTTCCTGAGGCCATGTCTCCTTGTGGCAAGAGCTGAAAGCATGTTCCCAGATGGAGTCTCAGCAGTTTGCCTTGCAGTCAATTTCCTTTGAGAGAATGCCACCTTTGCTGACTCTAATCACAAATACAATCCAATTAAAAGCTATTATGTTAATGTGAATAGAGAAGGAGATAAAACAAGGCAGTGAAATGTTTCATTTAGGCCCAAATGAGTTGATTTCTCAAGGCATAAAGAATCCCCATTAGGTTGGTTGCTGCAGTGACACAAGAAACATGCAAACCAAGCTACTGATTAAAATCTGGGAACGGGAGATAAAAGGTTTATCAGTGTGACAAGGGCTGGTTGATGGACTATTAGATGACACATTTGTGTGTTTGCTTTAAAACCTTTTGGCTTCTGTCATGCATTTTCATTGAAAAAACTGCTCTTTTCTGTTAAGTTCATATAGCGTTTATCTAGAAAACAAAATTGATGTGCTGTGCCATGAAAATGACGGCATCCTTCCTCTGTGCACGTAACATTTTGTATATTTGATGAAGGTGGCCTAAAGGAGGAAGGTACAACCATAAAAGAAGTTGGTTCCTTTCTCAGGACGATTGAGCTCAGTGACATAATATTACTTGTGGAAAGTAAAAATCTGCATTGAAGAATAGAAAACATTGACTTTAGAAGTTTACATTTTTTTCTTCTACATTTTAAATCACATAGCTATTGGTTTCAAAGAAACACTCAGGGTTTTTCATAACCCAGGTCTAAGAGAATAAAGGAAAATGGATTATGTTAATTCTTACATAATTTGCTTTTGGGTCTGTCTCTCATCCTAATTCCATATAAGATTACAATTTCCAGTAGGTTAACGAAATAGATTTGTCATGTGAAATCTATTTTATTGTGCATCATTTGAAAAAATATTTTCTGTCTGTTTTCATCTTCCTATCTGCTCCTCAAAGGAAGATGCCGTAAGTATCATAAGATACTGTAAACATGAAGCTGTGGTGGGGACTACAGTTGTCTATTAAAATCCATCTTACCTCTTTCCATGTGAAATAGAAGTGTCCTGCAAGCTAGAATATGCTTTCCCAGGCTCCTTTGCTTCAGGTGAGGTCATGTGACTAAGTTCTAGACAGTCATATGTTAGAGGAAAGGGTCTGTGCTTCTTCTAGATGAGATCCATGCACTTTTCCCATGTGTCATCCTTTGGGATAAGATCTGGTGATTCTCTTGCAGAGCTATAGAAAGGATCGCTAATGATTTCAGACTGGAGACAAAAGAAAAAATAGAATAACAGCAAGGGGAAGAAACACAACAACAATTTCCTAAAAAGTCTATCAAGACAAACATAACTCATTCAAAAATATTCTGTACCGAAAGCTCTTGTGAACTTTGTTCCTGAGTCACAGCTTGAGAAATGCTTCCTGTTGGTTGATAGATGAAAAGATAGATAAGAGCGTTTTTCAATAGCCACCTTTAAAGACACTACTCATTTTACGTCCTAATGTGACCGTACATTCAGAAGAAAAAATAAAACACACTCAATTCTTACACATTATCTGAGGATCTCACTGCTCCTGAGTTTTTTTTGCTATGAATGTACTCTAATTAATTTTGAGAGGTAAAACCACATTTGCAAGCAACATTTCCACTACCGGCATCAGACAGTGGCACTGAAGAATGGAGTCCTTTTTAGTTCCAGACTTGCTCAAAAGTTTTAAATCCTCTGTTGGAATGAAGATGTTGTCATTCATCTTTTGGGTCTGAAATGAGAATTTCACTTTTTAAAGAAAAATTGAGTGCTAGTTTCAAGAATCCTGGAGACTGGTAGTTTACTTGAACCTGTGTGCCTCTACACAGAACTGTGAGAGGGCTTTCTGTCTCTGTTTACTGTTCCTCAGCACATAACTTATGTGTGTCACACAGAAAGGCATTGAAAAAGAGCTTCTTGACCAAGTGCAATAACATATACATATAAAACAAGAAACAAAAACCATCCTGTGATCCCAACTTTCTCTGTAGATACGGGAGCGTAAACCAAATATTGAAGAGAAGAACCAGGAAGAAGCAACCTCAAGTGTGAAGAGAATGAATGGGACTTGATCTCCTATTCATGGTTTATTGTGTGAAATGAGCAGTTTTGCAAGAGTTCGCTGGGAAGGCATCAGTAGCAGGTGCAAGGTTGCTGCGTACTGTCAGAAATTACCACTCACCTTCTGCTTTTGAATTAAGTTTATTGATACCTACTTACTTCTGCTAAGACATTAACCACACACCAAGTTTGTTTTACTAGCACACTGACCTTACAATGTAGTAATTCTTCCATGATAAAGGGGTCATGAGTATAAAATGCAGAACAAGGCAGAGGTGGACCTAACATGCATCCAACCTACTGGATAGTCGTCTGGGAACTTTTGTCTTCAGCTTCCTTAGTGTATTTGCTATCAGTGTATGGGAGCCAGTCAAAGACACACTGAGTGAAGACTAGTGACAGCCAGAGTAGAGCTCACTGTGTCGTTTTGGTTTACATTTAAATTCATTCATCCATTGACTCATTCACTCTCTCACTCACTCATTCAAAAATATTTATTGAGCAAGAAATGCATGCAATGAATTTTGCTAGACACCGAATAGCAGTACATTCAATAAATTATGTTTAGTTCAATGTCACTGCCCACAATTTGCTTCAAATCACATAGAGGAAATATCTTTACTACTAAACAGAATTTCTAAGGGCCATAAAATATGTATACAAAGGAGCTAAAGAGGTTTAGAAAAAAGAGGTACCATCCAGTTGAGGGTGGTGATTGGTATATATGGAAATAAATGTTTGATAATGTACACACTGAAGATATTCTTAACAGAATACCGAAGGGCACAAAGGCTATAACCAATGTACATACCTTCTTTCCTCCATCCCCACTGCACTGCATAAATCTGGGAAAGCATCTCTCTAAAGTTTTGCTCAAGCTTTTTATTCACTAACCACCTGAGTGTAGTCCAAAACTGCAGAGCATTCTATTCTGCATTTGAAAAGAAAATAATAGCCGGGGAAATAATCTAACTTTGCACATTTTTATAATCTGCCTTTACTGTAAGATATAGTTAATATTTATCATTCATAATATCAACATATGTCGCGCACACCATATCTAGGGTGCTGGTGACTGTTGTCTGTACCACCCACGGTTATGCTCTGTGTCAGAGCACACTGGTACTGCCACAGTGGGCCGGTTACTAACTGATAGATCTTGAGGAACTATTGTATTTCAGAACCACATGCAAAGCCTGATTTGTGATGTTGTAAAAGTATGCGAACTAGGTGAAAATATGGCTGCTGCTGTTGACTCTACTAATCACATAATAACAGGGCATAGTAAGTTTTAAAGGTGGAACTTGATACTTGCAAATTGCTTCACAAAAGGCCAGTTGTCTCTTTTGGGATTTGGGCCACTGTTTTAACAAGTTTGAGTTGATCTGCATTTCTAGAGCCCTGCCACAGAGTGCTAATCCCACTACACCACTGAAAAAATATGCACTTTAGTAATTTGTATCAAAATGGGAAAGTACCACGTGCCTGTAAGTCATCTTTCTGTGGCTCACTGCACTGCCAAAGGGATGTGGAACCAGTGGATTTCCTAGAAGAATCTAGGTGTGGAAAGAAAGAAGCGAAGGCCCCAAACTACCAATTAAGGAGTGTGGTAATATATTGGATGACAGGGCAAAGGAAAATAAAACACAGGGCATTTGGAGAAAGAAATCTATGCTGTCTCAAATTTCCACCATGTGCTTAGGGCATGGAATGAACAGCTAAGAGCAACAGCAGGGTGAGACATACCATATATTGAAGAGGATGAGCTAATCTTTGCTCCAGTCACTTGACTTCAACTTTAGTTTCCCTCCTCAACCTTGCTGAGGGTACCTGTTATGGAGTCCTGGAATATCAGACTTGGAAGAGGCAGGGCGATCACCCGGTGACAAAGGGTCAGTAGGTCTTCTGAATGCAATCATTCCCTGTCTTTCTCTGTGCATGAGGAATTCTGGAAGTTCTCCAGCACCCTCCTGGAGCTCCACACTTGCTTCTGTTCGCTTCTGCCACGCTACATATATGAGAAGGGTCTCTGTGTGACGTTTTCTCCTCCACAACCCCTCCCAGCAAAGAGCTTCGTAGGAATTGAAGCACAGCTGGATTTCAGCTTGTTCTCAAGCCTCTTGGGAAGCTAGTTATCTGCTTCTCTGGCCTTGAGACCCTGCTGGGGGAGGGGGCAGGTCAAGGAACTTTCTCAAGGACTTCACCAGCATGCTCCTTGCTGACTGTATCAGATCATGGGATAATGATCATGTCTGGGGCAGAAAAATGGACTCTTCTATCACCAAATATATTTCCCACATCTATCATTTATGGCATAAACTTTAGCTTTGATACTAAAAGAAAATTCAGGATTTTTTAAAGTGTAAAATACTCTCAAATTATTCTTGCCATAACTTTTGCCCATACTTCAGGGGAGGAGATTATACAGTGTTCGTTTATCAGCAGCAGAAATCTTGAAGGCCCTCTTAGAATTCTGCTTACTCCCCCATCCGCCCCCCCACCCTCCCGCCCCCAAGTCCTGTGCTTTCTGGTGGCATTTTAATTCTGTCCTTTACGTTCCTCTCCTCAACATCCACCCCACCCATGGCTCAGCAGAAGCAGCTGTATAAGAAAACTCCTTCTTGGAGGCTCAGTTGTGAGCTGATTCTTTTCTTGGTCATGGCTATCCCCTATTCTAGAGGGGATATGTGAGAAAAAGAGAGAAGGTGTTTCGCTACACTTGGAGTGCACTTGGAGACACTTGTTCTGAGAACAGAGAAGAGACCATGTTTAGCTAGATGCCTGACCAAGACTTCAAAAGGGAAGAAGAAACTGTAGCTTCCTTGAGTCCAGGCACACCACAGGATAAAATAATTTTGCATATGCTCTCATTTTATTTCACATGGACGACTGCCTTGAGCTAAGCTGTCATGACATTTTACCTTTATTTGCTCATTTTCAGTTGCACAGTGACTAAGCACATGGGAGCACCAGCAGAATGTCAACCTAGTCACCACATTCAGAGGTCAAGCTCTTGACATTATTCAAAGTTCATGACCGAATCTCAGCAAGTTTCCCAGTAGAAACCTTCTGAACTCATGAAACTAATTCTTGAGAAATGTAAATGTTTTGTAAAATGGTTTTGGATTGTGTCATGGCTGTCAATGGCTCATGAAATTCATCCAGTATGGTTATTTTATAACATTCTCTGCTTCACCTGTTTCTGACTAAAATGGTTTGGGATGGTGTCACAGGGAGAACTGATACCTCTTAAAGCTGGGAAAACAAAACATTCTCTTAGAATTGAGTGTATGGATAGACGAGGTTAACTTTAAATTTCTTCTGAGACCTAACACTTTATCTAGAGTTATACCCTTGCAGATACAAAACTGTTTGTCTCCTGAAAGAAATTATGGTTGTGTCATGATGCAAAGCCATCTGGTGTGGAAAAAAAATCAGTCAATTGTCTGTTGAGTATTTTATCTACTTAGCATCAAATGCCTAAATATTGCAAGGTACCTTTATCTATACCTACATCTATGTCTTTATCTATTTATAGATATAAAAGGTCTTATAGACAAAGCACCACTTGGGTTGCAGTTTGGAGGGCAACTAGCAGTTTCTTTGGGACCAAGAAGATTTCAAGGAAAGTAATGGCTTCTAATGCTCACGTGTGGTCTCCCAAACGTATTTTTTCCTTTATCAGCTAAGTACATGATCACTGCCAGAAAAAGTGCTCTTTGCTGCCAAGGTAAGTTCAACAAATGTAGCAACTCTGCTCATTCTTTCCTTTGAGATTACACTGGTAGTGAAATATATTAAGGTAATATCTATTAATTCTCCAGCCTTAAAATAGTCAATTACCTACTTCCAAGATTAACATATTATTTTTCCTTTTCCATGGAAAAGAACTTGAATTTTGTGACTGTGTGTGGCTGATATGGAAACAAAATAAATTACCAACAAATATCGCAGCCCTGTGAGCAAGACGTGTTTGTTAACATGAATGGTCACCTTGACAATACTTAAAACCTGGACCAATGTCTAGACATGTCATTCTCAGGCTAGGAACAGTTTGCAAAATTCTCACCATTAAAATGATTAACTTGGATTTTTAAAGATTTCTAAATTTCTCTCTAATACCCATGAAGGACGGTAGAACAATATTTTCAAAATATTTTATTTATCTATGTCTTTAGATTCAGAAATAATTTTATTTTTTTCCTGCAAGATTAAAAAAAATTGTTATTGGGGTATAGTTGATTTACAATGTTGTGTTAGTTTTAGGTGTACAGCAAAGTGAATCTGTTATACATACACATAATTTTATTCTTATAAAATCAATGT